CTCCAACGCCTTCTCTTGTAAATACTCACCTGTGCCATTCCTCATCACACGTTCAGTTTTTCATCTGGACCCAAGCTTTCTCACCTCGTCACTGGAAGTAAGCAAACGCAAGTTTTATCTTCAATCTGTATCTCTTTAACTACAAGACTTGGATACTCACCTGTCGATCTCCTCCTCCTCAGATTTGGATCCCTGCACATTCTTCTTCACACCTGTAAAATAAACATTGTTAATATTTTTGTAACTTGGTTCCCTGTGAGTTTCCTTGCTGGTCTGCTCATCTGCCTTGACATGTGATAAATATATTCACTGAGAAAAATGGTGACGTGTTCAATACTTATTTTACCCGCTGTATTTCTGCTTTAAACCTTCATGTCCGCACAAGTAAAGCTTATCTAAGATATTAATGAGGACATACATTAAAATGAAGTGAAACTGTACAAAAAGTGTTCTTAGGCTCAGGCATGATGTTTCCATGTGCTGGCTGGTTACGTAAGTGACAGGTTGGGATTTTATTTTCTGACTCTTGGACAGAGGGTCAGAGCAAAGTGTCATCCAGATGGAGGCGAAATGAAGCTGCTGCAGTGAAGTCTGAAGGGATTTAGATTAGGGTGGGATGCTGGTAAAAAACATAGCTTCAGAGTATCAGAAAAAAAGGTGAATGTGTTTTATTTCAGAATGTACTTTTATAAACCCTGATGGACAACTATAAAACTGTTTTTACACGGTTGTGCTTTAAAACCTATTTTAAATTATCTGTATTTTAGGAGCAAATATATGTTTATTTTATTCAAATTATGAGATACTGCCATTTTCTGAGAACATGTTTTATATTCTAATATTAGATTATATTTTAATACACAATGGAATGTCCAAAAGGTGTTAAGTATAAGTTTTGGTCACATTTTTTTCATTTCCATCCTCTATTAAATTAACCCAGTATGTACTTATGTTGAATATAAGAGACTTGGGTTTGAAAAGATACCAGATTATTTACATTAGCATTCAATTAAACACTTTTAATGTGTATGCTACAAATACACTCACTGAAATGAGCTAATTAGTTATTTACACTTCACACAGTTCCTACGTACAGTGACAATCTGACGCAGATGCCCCCGCCGCCTCACGCATCTGCTAACTCGGCTGTCTGATTTCTTTAGTTAATAACCAACACTGTAACCAGATCATATAAACAGAAACAGTCAAGTGCAAAAAAAAAAAAAAACACTCAATCTGTCTATTCCCTTATTTTGTGACATTTGGATGACTTGCACAAAAATAAACACATCAAACTGGCAACAAAAAGTAACACTGTCCTTAAAAATGTATATCAAACATTAAAACATACTATTACTACATCAGGTTTACACAAATATGTAAAAAACCTTTTGTAAAGTGAGTGAAATGTGCAGCGTGGGTATCTATAAAAATAGAAGTAATGACGACTCTACCAAAATCTTTTCTCCCATAATGCACCCTGAATCCTGGAAGCTTCTCTGTGTGCAAGCGTGCCATGTAAAGAAAGCTTGTGTTTGCTGAACAAATGACTGCGGTGGGAAGGGGGTCCTAACAAGCCATCTTTAAGAACCTTTTCCTGGTAGAAGAAAGGGTCCTCCCCCATCCCTTATCACACCGTGGCTAGGTTCTCCTGAGACTGATGCCTGGAGCCAGGAGAAAGTGGATCCTCCACTCTGTCTGCAGCCGGTCGGCTCCAAGTCTCAGCCGTCTCGTCGGCCTGCACAGACGCCTGGCGTTTCTTTGAAGACACACACGTAGGCACGTCCCGGGCTGGTGCTGCAGCAGACCCTGGGCAGGGTCGAACTTTAAAAGTCTCATTATACAGTGATTTAAAAACACTAGACAAAATAGAAAGCAGCTACATCCCTGTTATAACAGCTGGCTCTGCTAACGCCTGCAGAGGATTCCTCTCAAAATTTAAGTGCCTAAAAGGGTTTTTGCCCCGAAGGAAAGTTTTGCCTCTATGTACAAATAAATCCTTGTTAACGTAAACGTCTGCAGTGCAAATGTTTGATCAAAAGCATGTTCGCTCAAATCAGCCACGATGCTTTTATCCTCGCTCCGCTCGATTGTGGGTAAAGGTTTGTGGTGACAGTTGACTTGTTTCTGAGATGAATAAATGTTTAAAAGAGTAATGAATCCTTGACAAGGTTATTTACAACTTTAGGAGCCCTTTGGCCAGTAGATCCTCATGTGGAAACTCAAAGTTACAGTCTTTTCCTGTCTATAAAGTCCACTCTGTGACAAAGCTCCACTGGTTCAGAAACGCATCCTTGTCAGTCTGTTAGTCTGTGTACATAGTTGACAGGAAAGGTCCCACTTCTTGATGGGTCTCCTTCAATGTGTCCAACCTGTGAGGAAAAAGGAACAATGCAAAGTTTATTATCTTAAAACAAACAAAAAAAGTCTATGGAAATGTATAAGATTAGTCCTGGTTTATGAAGAGTAAATTACATATTGTGGATATTATTTCACCAGAGAGTCTGTGTGTGCAGTTACGCAATTAAGCCCTAGAAATAATAACAATAATAAAAATGAAATAAACTGTAGTTTTACTTACCCACCAGTGGGAGTCATTAGCTGCCGTGACCACAATGACTTCATCTTTAAAGAAAGCAAGCTGCTCAGAGCTGACTGCTCGGCAGTCTACCAAAGCCTTGACACGCTTCTGTGGCCTGCTGCCAGAGACCTGCAGGAGACATGTAATCCAATTCTCAGTGTACCGTCAGAAAACTCATATTGACTGTGAAATCTCTCAGGATTTATTTTAAACTGAGAGCTGAAGACTGAAGGCTAAAACAACAACACAACGAGGTTCCTGTGTGAGCTGGTACCATTGCATTCCTGCGGGAGCGTGTGGCACAGGTCACGGTTGGTGAGGATGAAGAGGATGAAGATGGAGCGGAGGAACCTGTATTATTTTCCGCAGGGCTGCAGGATAACTCCTCCTGGCTTCCCACACACTTTCCATGGCTGCTTCCTCCACTGCTGCGACGGTATGAAGTGGTCTTCTCTGAACTAGAAATTTCACAAGATTATGAGGAATTGAAATAGTGAGAGAACTTCGCCCTGGAGGTATTCACTCAGATCCTTGCCATGCTCGCATCAGTTTTCTACTCACCTGACGGGTCCTACAGGGTTCTGAGGGGACACCAGTGTACTTTGTGACCCAGAACTAGCACTGGTTTGGCCATCCCAGGTCTGCCTGTGTGTCCTCTGAAGACACCCATGTCCACGCGGGGACCTTGGGGGTCTCCCACTCTGGCCTGGACTCTCTGAATTAGCGTGTCTCGATTGTGTCTGAGAAGTGGAGGTGTGGGTAGATGGGTTAGAGCTGCGTCGGGGGAGGTGGCTTCCATCTTGTGTCGTGGCTGAAATCTGAGGGTCTGAGCGACCTGTGGAGGTCAACACAACAACTGTAACACTACAAATCAGTGAAACTTGCAGTGAAGTGTTTTCAAACAGCAACACACCTCTTTGAACTGATTTAACGGGCAGTGGTGGTGGCACTGAAGCTCCAGAGGGGGCACTGTTGGCTGGAGGATTGTTGTACAGGAAGTCCAGGTTCTCATATGTCTGACAAGGCTTGGAACTCGAACCATTTATGTGGCTCCATCTGACAAAGGGAGAAACACCACCTCCGTTTGATTTTGGAAGGGAGCGGTTCTTGGACACTGGGCTCACCTGGAGGAAGGTAGAAATGATCTGAACCTCATAGTTCAAATATCAGGTTTAGTTTTCAGTCAATATCTGGACCGTTTTCAAAGTCTAAGGACGTTATTTACTGTGAATGTTCAGTACAGAAACATAAACAATGAAGCAGATACTACTTATCTAGACCAGAAAAAATAAACTGAGTACTGTCCATACTTTTCAAGACTGCACAGGAACTCTGTTTGTTGTTAGAAAAACGTGTTTTATCAACTTTTACACAGTGAGTAAAAATGTATAACTTTAATATTTCTACGAGCTTTGTAGACTAAAAGTTGAAGTTGGTAACAAGACGGTGTGTATGTGTGAGAGAGAATGTGTGTGTTTTACCTTCTCATCCAGGTCGTCTTCACTGTCATAAAACTCTTGAGCCTGAGTCTCCCATGGGAATTCCACATGAATCTGAGAGTTAAATTTACCACTTTGGGCCAGCTCCAGCTAAAAAATATACACAATGTACACAAAAACAGTGATAAACGCTTAGCAAGTTGTGTACATAAACTGTGCATCAATTTCATGTCAAATATGTTGTTTTTGTTTTTTTTTTCTTTCTGGCCGACAGATTTGGCATTTATTTTATGCAGAATGCCCTTCCTGATACAACCTGGGATTAAAATTTCATGTCTAATACATTTTAAATATTGAAGTCAGGTAGTTTGTAATGATAAAAATAAAATAGAATTTAAAGGAGACATATTTTAAATCCTCCTTTTTTACATTTAAATCAGTCAGTTGGGGTCTTTATAAAGTGGAACTTCAATGCTTTAGTCTGGATTCCTCCTTACTGTAACTCCACAAGCCCCTCTTTCACTTCTTTTCTGAGGTGTGTCTTAAATCAACTCTTTTTGTGGCTGTCTCTTTAGATCCAAACAAGGTGCTTCACACCTCACCTCTCTTCAGCTTCCGGTTCTTTCTAGTTTGATAGAGGGGGTTGTGTTATCTAGCTACGCAGAAACGTTTTAATTACAAATTAATGAAAATATGTCAACAACAGAAGACTTGGCCATCCAGCCTTACGTTGGAGCCAGAGGAGAATGAAGATGGACAAACTGTAGTTGATATGTCCAGACCTTATTTGGCAATTCTGTTGCAAATAATTTGACGTAATGGTTCAGAAAACATCATAGGTAATAAAGAAAATTGAACAGGTTGAAAAATATGACCCAAATAGAATATAAAGATATCTATGCAGCACCGGGAGAGACTAAAGTCAACTTTTCTGCACTCTTAAAGACTCCAAGTGTACAACAAAATGTACTTAACTGCTAAAAAAAGTGGATTTTGCATATGTCCCCTTTAAACTTTTGCCTTAATTTTGATTTTTGATTCTAGTTTTCTTGCTTTTTGCTCGTTTCCTTTGGTTTAAATTATAGCTTGGGGGTTCTGTGTGTGTTTTTTATGGTTTTTGAGGGCTTTTAGAAAAAAAGCTTGTTGGCATGTAAACACAAAACGACTGATGTCTGCATGTTTCATTTAGAATTAAATAAGTTTTATGTCCCCGTGTTTATTTATTTTTTTTTAATTTCAACTTTTTCACAACATCCTGTAAAACAAGGTCATTTACAATCAAACAGGATGTTGCATAAAGAGAGTGTGATACAGCGAGGCAGATGGCCGGTAAGAAAATAAAACCAGTTTATAAACGATGCACACTGGAGGCCTGATGCGGCTGTGCAGGGAGTTTTTTTAAGGTAGTATTTCCAGCTGTGGAAGCAGCATTGTTTTGTTTCTGGAGATGGCTTTCTGGCAGGTATTCTAATCCTGTAAACCGATCCCTCGTGTGAGCTCACTTCTGACAATGTGTGTTCTTTGAGAATCTGAAGTCTTCAAAGGCATGTGGAAAACGAGGTCTCACCAGATCGATGCACTGTGTGTGCTGCAGCCTCTTAGCAATATCTAGAGCGGTCTCTCCAGCTGAGTTCACTGCAGGAGGAAGAAAAACTGCCTTTACTTGCTGCTCTAGATAACTGAAATCTAATCAAGATAGTAACATGTACCTGTATGAATGGCTGCCTTTGCTTTGAGCAACAACTTGAGTGATTCAGGCTTGTGATAAAGGACGCTGTGGTGAAGCGCTGTGTTCCCTTCTGTTGTCTTCTTCTCCAGGCAGTTGCTGCGCAGGGCACATATGATGTCAACAGACGGTGTTAAACTTCACAAAAGACAACATACAATTTCCAAAGAGCAAATGCAACAAGCAAAACCTGTCCGACCTGTTCTGACAAAGGAAATCCACCAGGGACAGAGAGCTCTTCTCCTCAATGCGGACAGCGAGATGAAGAGCGGTCTCTTTGTTCCCCTGGAAGCAGAAGAAAGGAGAACAAATGAGGCTAATCTGTTGACCCTGAAATAGAGGCTCCGTGTGCAACCTCTTTTCCAAATCACTGAAAATGAAACTCTCATTCTTGTCGAATGTTCTGCTGAGTTTAAGTCAAAGGTTTGTTTCGGTGCTTTAAAAAGTGAAAACAGCTCTGAGGACGATCTATGTACGTGAGGTGCCAAAAGAGAGGAAGACGTGCCAGCGTAATTGAATAAGCTTGTCTCGTTTTCACTCTAGAGACGTGAGCTCTGACCTAAAAGCTGAAATAACTAAAAGCCAATTAACACAAACAAACAGCCTCTTACACTCACAAAGTAAACCATACTACACACACACACTGCTGTAGCTGATGAGGAAGTGTCTGACAAGACACTAGTATGATTAAAGAGAAGAAGATGAGGCGTCAGTTACGGAGAGGAAATAAAGAGGAGTTGAGGGAAAGGCCAAAAGAGATGGGAGTGACTCTGATGAACCACACACAAGAATGACAAAGCAGCACAATAAAAATCACATCCTGGAACAACTTAAGTATGGTCTTTCCACATCATGATGATTTATTTTTAAATTTCTGGCAATTTTAATCAAGTAAAAGAAGTGAGTTCTAAATGTTTCAAAACCTCACACAAAAGTGTCCAGAAATGTCAACAAAAGTGTGTGGGTGGCCTCGTCAGGATGTTCGTCACACTAAATGCACAACATCTGTGCAAGAGTCGGAGTTTAAATTTAGCCCTGTACGGGTTCAAAACACTCAGACTCTAACAAGACACGTCTTGCGATGGAACACAATCGTGGAAACCTCGAGGCTGTATTTCCTCTCACCTGTCCTTCGGGGAGCACGAGCGGCTTGGCCAGGTCAGCTCCCTCGGCGTAGAGCTGCAGGAGGGAAACCAGGTCCCGGCTCCTCACGGCGTCGTATAGCCGGCATGGATCGGACTCTTCTCTGCGCAGGACGTACCGGCGTTCGGCGTACTTGGCAACAATGTATTCTTTCCTTGCATTCCTGGTTTGAAAGGTTAAACGTGTAAAAACATTCTTTCCTAATCTTGGCCTTTTGAACAATCAGACTGATACAGATATTAAGAAAAGAGCAACTAACATGTCGCTTTGTGGCAACGGTTTGACAGAGTCATTGGGGAGGCCTGCCTCCATGATGTCATTGAATCTGGTGTTGCCAATGCTGACAGCCAGCTGGACACACAAAGAAATGTCAACATGTCAGAGAAAGTCGCACTGTTATTTAACATTTTTGATTATGACAACAAAAAATGATTTTTGTTTCTGTGAGTATATTTAGTACCAGTAGTTCTGAAGTGCTCAGCAGGTCGAGTGTGAGTGACTGAATCCTGGAGTAATGCACCCCCAGATCTCTGTGGATCCCAGAGCATTCGATACAAGTGAGGATTCCCAGGTTGGTGGACAACCACGTCGGGTCTAAAACACACCAAACACAAAAATGTTTCTCTGAACTAAACACAGAGATAATAAGGGAAACGAGATTAGACATTTCGTCTGACCCGGAGCGCCGCAGTCTGCACACGCCTCGTTGCCCGGCATGTGTCGAAGCTCTGCAATGATGGCTTGGGAGAGGTCCTGGAGCCCGCTGTCCTGAAGGTGAAGCTGATCTCCTCCCAACGCTGTGTTCAGCGCCTCCTCTTTACTGTTCTGCAGTACTGACATCCAGCTGAAGGAGAAACAGTGTCCGTGTGTTATCTGATTCTCGTGAGGTGGGAGGCCGTGGGAAAGCAGAGGACTCTTTCTTTAAAACATTAAAGGTTCGGTCACATCAGTCATTCCTGAGGCCTCAGAACTTTTCCTTTACGAACCGTTTTCATCTTCCTGTGAACCTAAACTCACAGAGCCCATCAAATTAAAGAAATCTGACTGCAGGCTGAGACAAAAAGATAAAGGCAAGGGATGCAAACCCCCACCCCCTATCATCTGAAACCACAACACATCAAAGATTGATTCCTTGCTTGTTGTCTGTGGCTACAAGTCCCACCCTGAACCAGCTGGGACACGGAGTCTGAGAGGGCAGATGTTTCTGTCTCTGCATCGCGTCATTTCTTTTAAACAGCATCTCATTTCAGGGCTCTGCTTTAAGTGGTAGCTGTGTGAACATTTCAAAGTTTCTTTTCAACACAGGCTGAGCTTAATTTAAAAGGAGCTCTGTAAGAACTCACTTTTGTAATGAGAAGTATGAGCTGAAAGATAAATAATATGTTATAAGTCAACAGTTGTTTCAGTGCTTACATCATGCATTCCTGTTCATCCTCTGCCTGGAAACGATACGTCCGGTTATCTGCAAAAAAAAGGAAATTCTGTTTGTAAATATTGTTGGCAGGAAAATACAAATTGCTCTGTGGAATATAAACTAAAGAATGTTTAATCTGAAAGTAAAATGCCACAGATCCTTATTTATGTTATTGTTAAAACCAAAAATGGAAGCTTTTACACAGCTGCTCTTATTATTGATCAAAAGAAAATGAACTTACGAGTGACCAAGTCAAAAGTTTTCTTGTCCTCTGGGTTGGGCCGGACCTGACAGGTGAGAAGGTTCAACTTGGCTGGTGGTCGATTGATCTGAAAACAAACATAAAATAATGGGTTGAGAGAAATGATTTTTGAATTGTGTATATTTGCCTAAAGTTTAGTCTATGTGGCAAATGTCAATGTCCTCACCGTACTGTGTGAAATAGTCAGGCACCCAAACTTGACTCCACATTTCCTCTTCTGCCAAACCTTCCTGATCCTGCAGGATTAATGAGAGATATTAAGATATGAATCTACTGATGTAACACTGCCATCTTGAGTTGTGTGCAACACCCCGTGAGCTGAAAGCAAGCATTAATAGTTGGAGCAGTTGGTCTAAAACTTATCCTTAATCCTGCTCACAGCACCTCACTACTGTTTTCATTATCTCGACTGAAACATGGTGAAAAGACTGAAAATGGGTTCTGTTTTCTGTCTGTGACCTGAGCATTTACTCTCTCCTCTATTTGTCCTACTGAACCACATCCCCCTCTTTATCACAGTGATCTGGCTCAGTGTATGTGTGTGTGTGTGACGCAAAAAATCTGGATCTGCTCTGTTAGCTACTCTGCCAAAAAACTCCTAAGGAGGGGCCCCTGCTTGACTCTTCATCTCACAGTAATGAAGACCAGATGGGGGCAGACAAAGCTGAGTCGGCCATTCCCAGTCTGTGCCAGATTTGCTCACTCTTTAAGTAACTCTGATCTCTTTTACTTCTTTTTAAATTGTGTTCTTGGCTTTGAAATATCCAAAATCCATATTTATATATAAATCTGTGATAAAGTCCTTTAATGTCGTAAGAGTTCAAACAGAACAGCACATTCACCTCATAATCCACATTTTGTTCTTCTTAACAGCAGTGACAAAACAAACCGTGTTCTCTTGTGTTTAATTACTGTTTGAACAGTCCCAACATCATTACTCTTGTTGAAACTGCTTAAAACTTGATGATTTTACACACCCATCACTCTTCTTCATCAGGAAACCAGATTTCTCAGTCCCATACGTCTTGTTTCCCTGTGGTTGGTGGATGCTGTACCCATTGCCCGAGTTCTTCCTGTTCAGATATTCCTAGGATAAAAACGGGCATTTCAAACGTAACTTAAACTGATGAAATAAGGATGTGCAGGAAGCCCACACAATATACTAAGTTTTTCTAAGTTTTACACAAATACAGTTTTAGAAATATGCATACCTCCTTGCCATCCACTTGCAGAAGCAATTTGAGAGAATCCCTCAGCTGAGTGAGCTGTTTGACATCCTCGTCTTGATCCACACGCATCTGCAACAAACACCGTGAAATTATTTAAAACTGCAATAAAATACAGCTGAATGAACGGCACATTGCATGTTTTCATTGTTTACCAGATAACTTGTGATGTTTTTTAATAGCAATGCAAAACAGAGCTAATTCTTTTTCATTGATTTTTTATGAAGACTCAAAGCGACTCTTCTCACATGTGACATCAGCAACTTTAACTTTTGGTTTTATTTTGTCCTGGAATGACCGAACAGATATGATCTGCACTTCCTTCTTGAGGCTGAGGTCTGGCATGTCTGAGCGGGTTTGAGTTCTGCCTTGGATCAACCAGAAAAACATCTAACGTTCCCAGTATCACAGTTAACAGCCTGTTTCCAGAGCTCAGCCCAGAACAGGGTATAAAGCAAAATTTGTGCAAAATAGAAACCAAACAAGAGACCAGTGGTTGGAGAAATAGGTAAGGGGGGAGGGAAAGTATGAAAACAAGGGAACATTTCAGCTCTGAAGAACATGTAAAGAGAGATTAATAACAGTATACTTTATAAGTTAACAGGGGGGAGTGTACGCAGAAGGAAACACACGTCTTTGACAGTTAAAGTGAAACTAAAGAAAGAAGGAATTCAAACACTGAAAAGGGTTTTGGTGCACTTTTTCTATGACAAAATCTGATTTGTTTTTTGTGTCTTAATATAAAATATTTAAAAATGGTACAGCTAGAGTGGCAGTGTGACTGGTTTAGATTGAAGGCAAGATATCTAGAACATGTGAGGTATGTGCATGTGTGGCATTCTGAGATAACATCAGGTTGTGATAATCAAAATAACGCACAAAGACAACATTGCTCTTCCTTGTGAATCATGAGTTTTGTTCCCCAAAATCAGAACAAAGCTGGGTAAGAATCTTAAAGGGATCCATGATTAATATGTATATGGTGATATAACGCTAGCTATGCATAAACTAACACCACATAGTATTAGGGATGCAACTAACAATTTTTTTAATAATCGATTAATCTGCCAAATCATTAAAACACTTAATTACATATAAGTAGATATAAATCAATTTAATTCCTGTATAAATTAGGGACGCAAGTTACTGATTAATGTGAAGTTGTCTGAAGTTGATTTAACTTATAGATTGACTAACAATTAATTTATAAGCAGCCATTTTCTTAAAAAAAAAACAGTTTTCTATTGAATCAAGAGGATCTTTTCATAACATGAAGGATTTGTTAAATAATATGCTAAATTAAAAAAATAAGCACATCATGAATATTTTCACAATTGATTTTGCCAGCTGTATTAAACACTGACTGGAAAAAAAAAGCAGATTTCTCATACATTAATAAACTTGGTTATTAATCGATTTTTATTGATTTGTTGTTGCAGCCCTTTAATATCTATATAGGGCTACAATAACGACTCAATAAAATTGATAAAAATCGATTATTAAAAGTGTTGGCAACAAATTTCATTATCAATGCATTGTGTCCCGCAGTTTATGCATCCCTCGCCATGTCGCAGAGCTATTTACGTCACCCACAGAGCATTGTCAATGCTGGCTGAGTTAAATAAAGTTTAGAAAGATGTCTTTTCAAAACAATACCTGTGAGGCGCAGGCAGTGTTTTGAAAGGAATTTTTTAAATATCTACAAATGATGGGTGCAAATAAAACGGATCGACCTAAGTCATCAAAAGTATGGGAGCACTTCACGCTTCGGATACATCACCTGAAGCCTAAACATGTCGAAGTCATCGATGAGGATGAAAGCAGCTCATTGTCAGGGTTTAAATCACTCTAACCAGAAAGATACACACTCTCCGAGAGAGACTTCAAACTTTAAACCAGTTTTTAAATTGTGTTGTTAGGCCAAGTAGAACTGGAGTTATGATAAAGAGTAAACGCTACATGAGACCTGCTCCAGAACCAGCTTACTGGGCCATAGAACACCGTTTTAGCCACAGAGAGAAGGCTGCAAAAAGTAAAGAATCAGAGAAAAATCACACATTTTAAATGTAAATAAATTCTAATTCTAATAATAAATTAATAACAGTTTTGCATCTGAAAATTATATTTGTTCTTTTGATCACTTTTCCTCAATTCAGCAGCCTAATTTTATAGAAATTTATTAGTAATAAATTTCTGTTTTATATTTTATAAATATATCCAAGTTTAATTATGCGTGAAAAATTCACATTTATTTTTCTGTCAGTATAACATAGCTTTTTTTTAATTCAGTATTTTATAAGATCTTTCATGTTATGGAAAGACCCTCTTGATTCAAGAGAAAATTTCAGGAGAGTTTTTAAGAAAATGGCCACTTATCAATTGTTAGTTGATCAATTTGATCAACCAACTTTAGATTAATTCATTAATTGACAACTTGCATCCCTAATTTACACAGAAATTTAAGTAGTTTATATCTACTCATATCTATGTAATTACCAGTAAGTGTTTTAATGATTTGGCAGATTGGTCGATTAATCGAAAAAATAATAACAGATTTATCAACTATTAAAATAACCAATAGTTGCAGCTCTAATATATTTATATGGCGTGGCGTTAGTTCTTGAGCTAACAATATTAGCTCAGCGCTAATGCAAAAGCTAACAGGCTAAACTGAGGTTCTTCTGTCCATGAAGCATCTTTGTCCTCCATTCACAATGTCAGTTGTAGGTTGAGTCTTTACGACATTATCCTGTCTGTCAACGCACTCTGGTTTTATTTAAAAGAACTGATGGTCAGATACTGTCCAAGATTAACCTCCAGGGCAGATAGAGATTGCACAGCCTCGCACCAGAAAACTTAGTGAACGTCATCATCTACCCAACATGCATTAATAGTAGCATTAATAAAATGGTGCCATCCAAGTGACATTTTTTTAATTCATAAAAATTAAACAGCCACAGAATTTTTACAGTCTTTGTTTTACAGCTAAAGTAAATGTTTACAAAAAAAATAGTTACAAGCAATCGTGGATCTCTGTAAAGGCTACCGTGAACTAAGAGCTTTAAATACAACTCTCAGTTGCCCATATTGAGTATTTCTTTACTGTTTCACCATCATTTATAAATGCAAAAAGTATTTTCTACACACACCCTTATATTTACAATATGTACAAAAAGGGGACATTTTTAAACAAATAAAGTAGGAACACAGGTTGTAAGTTCCCCTTTATGTGAGGTAAGTTAAGGCTTTATGTGAGGTAAGGTAAGGCTTTATGTGAGGCCCATCATTTTAAAAACTGTTTTATCCACTGAATGAAGATTAAGGAAGAAAAGAATGACAGCAGCTGCTGTTTACCGTGTGAATAGAGGAAGAAAGTTTCTCAATAAAGGGAGTGAGATTCTCTGCGGCTTTCAGCCCATCCTGAAAGAAACTGAAATCAGAAAAGAAAAACAAATATTGTTGAGTCATAATGGTATCATGAAAGGATTTTAGTTCTCAGCAACAAAACAGTCATATGCTTATGTTGTTACACTCATATACTCAGCTCCCACATACAACTCTTTGCAACCATAAAACAGGTAAATGGTTAACAGAAAACATCTAAACCAACGAGCCTCAAATAATACGCAGAATTCCTCACTGACCACAGCTCTGATCAGATCCACATGTTTTTCTCTGCCAGGTTTCTTGGTTTAACCTATTTCAGATGTGCAACAAAATGGCTATTGGACATAAAAAAATTATTGTTGGCAGAAACTGACCTGAGCTGGGCTTGAAAAAATTTGATAAGGCTTTGGAGAAGATCAGGACCCTGACGCACCTTCAGCTCCTGGATCTTCAGAAGATACTAAAAACATAAACAAAACCAGGTCAAATTGATGCTCAAAACCATGAAGCTTGAAAATGAAACAAGCATGAAGTCAGTTTTTAAAAGTAAAAATCAAACATTTAATTTTTGACATTAGAACTTAATATTCTGTGGTGTGGGTTCAGTAGCACACTTTGTAACAAACGTTTAGTGGTATCAAAGTTCATTAACCTCATTTAAACACTACAAGCTCTTACTGAACTTGGAAGACTGTAAAAGACTTTCACTTTGTAGGGAAGGAATAACTTCACTGTCCGCCACTTTCAGCCTGTCTCTCGTAGCACAAGCAGCCCTGGATATTTTGTATTCATGTGAAATAATTTTAATGAACATCAGTATTTGTCTGAACAGACAGGGAAAAACTGATAAACAGACTAAAGGTTTGGGATGGTGCAACAAGTAGAAATTACATTTCTCCTGTATCTGCTTTGGGTCTGAACAGCAGGGTTATTATTTTTCTCTCTAATTACACGGACACTGTTGAGAGAGGTGAAGATGGAAACTTGCCCTTGGTGAGATATCCTCCTGAAACTACAGGATATCACTCTTTTTGGGCACACACCTCATGTGGATGTCAACAGAGGCGACCTTTCACCTGACGGTGTCATCAGCCAAGGTCTGACCCGGAGGCCAACCTGCTGCGGCTGGATAGGGAAACATGAACTCTGGGCTCAGCTCTCCTAACGCACCCTGGGTGAGGAGAACATTTCAAATGAAGGCTGGACCTGCGATCAGAAACCTCTGATTCTCCAGTGGGGCCTTTCCTGCACAGGAACCGAGCCTGGAGATAAGGACAGGACCTGAAGAGTGAGGAATCTGAAAAGGAAGGAAGACTACTGTATCCTTTTGTGTGTGTGTTTTTATTTTGCTTGATAGTAGGCTAAATAAAACACAAAAAGCATGTGCAGAGGGAAATTCCTGCAGAATGGATCCGTCAAAAGAAAACCAAATAACTACAAAAAGCACTTTTATTGTGACATTAACTGCATCCTTTTTATCTTTGTAAAAAAGTTTGGATGCAAATAGTTTAATCGAGACTACTGGGCTCTTTTTCGTATCCTTGGTAAGTTTTCTCTTGATTTTTAATTCTCAACTGGTTCACTGCCTGATTACTCTAGCTGAGCTTACATGGGGTTTTAGGAAGCCTCCCTCTCAGGTTAGTCATGTTAAAACCTCAGAGAGGAGACACAGAGGAGYCTCAAAGCTCCCTGGGGCCTCCAAAAAGGCCTCCCAGCTATTGATAAAGTGATCCGCAGCCTTCCTGTCTCAATCCACTTCGGCTGGTTTTTAATTAAAATCCCACTCGTCTGGTAAGCTTGCAGGTTTCATAGTAATTTGGTCCTTGTTGACTTCCTCTGCAGTTATAGGAGGCGGAAGTGGCGTTAGATCTCTGATGGATTTTTCAATCAATGACAGGTAAAGTTGCTGGGAGATCTAAGTACTGGTTTCAGCAGGCACCATCGTGGTCTGCTGAAATATCACCTGTGAACAGCACCATCGGTGCATTTCTCGACATGCTCTTTCAGTTTTATGCTGTTAAATAAGAAATGTTTAAACATTTAATCCAGTTCTGAATTTCTTTTATAACTGATGCAGTAAATAATGTATCATTTTTGCTTCTGAAGTGTCCTTACAACGTCTCAAGATGAAAAAGGGGAAAGCTGACATTAGATGGAAAATGTAATCTGTAAGGTAGACCACCCACGTGAACTAAAAGAAGCCCACCTCAGGTAAGCATAAATGTCTGGGATTGAGTATTTTGACTGGCTCTGATTCCCCCCACCTCACACATCTGCAGCTGGAAGATCCTTCTCTCTCTTTCCATGTCCTCCCCCCCGTCCGATCCCTCTGACTTGATCAGCCCCAGCTGCTTTGTCTTCTCCTTCCTCTCCTTTTCCAGTTTCCCTCTGACGGAAGAAGGAAACACAAAAATAAGACAAACAAAAGATTATTCTTTTTTCATTTAGGTGTGTCACTTGTTTAAACACATCCAACCGTCTGAGTTAGTCTCAAAAACTAACTTCCTCAACTGAGAAGCTGGAAGGAAAACAAGAGGAAAGAGGTGCAGCCTACTTATATTATAAAACACTTTACACCGTCTTTCAAAGATCAAATGACAGCTGTAAAGTGCAGATGCCTCGGATATATTTCATACTGGTTTAATGTAGAAGGAACAAAGAGAATAAAGTTTTACCCTTCCAGTCTATGTCTCGCTAACAGCTTCAGCTAAAAGAAACATACTCATAAACCAATTATCTGCCCTATTATTTATACTTTTCTACTGAAAAACTATCAGGATTAAAAATCATGATGATTTAAAATACAGTCCAACTAAGTAGCCATAATGTGAGCAAAAATAAAAAGATGAATTACAATTTTATGTCATAATCCTTCCACCTCTTCTCCATATTTTTCTTGAGCTCCTGTAACAGAACAGAACAGAGGAGTTACAGCACAAAGACATAATTATTACTTGCAAAATGATGGCTTGAGTTTGATATTGCTAAACAGGATTTCTGTGGCACTTGGCCATTTTTTTTCATAGTTGGAAAGAAGAAAATTCAATGCAGCAGAGAAATTTAAAGTTAGGGCAGTGACAGGAGCTTACAAAAGACATTAGCCTGTTATTACTGGTTTGTTGGCAAATTCAAACACAGAAAAGTTTAGAACTGAAAAGCAGCTCGGTTTGAGTCAAGCTTACTTAATCTGCATAAATAACCTCCTTTTATCCATTATTTCAAAAGGCTCAAGAGTGATTATAACACAGACAGCTTTGTCTTCTTAGTTTAAAAAAATCATTCTAAAAGATAAGTTTTAATGTTTGTCAGTATAATCCTAAAATACAAATAAAATGGTCTACAAACCAAATGCTGTCTTTTTATATCAGTAATAAAGATAATCTGAACATACTAGAAGACAAAAAATTATTTCTGTGAGCCATTCCTTTCTTGTCTGAAATATAAAATTTCAACTGTGCAAAGAGTAGAATATCTGGGCTGTATGAAACAAAACCACAAATGCTTGTTTATATGATTTTGTTGTCAGATCTGTAGATTGTACATATTTTGTGTCCAGCTTGAACTTTATTATTAGTCTTTGTTTTTTATATATATATTCTATGTATTTTTTATTAGATTTAGGGAACCAATTATTTCTTACTCACTGATTGAATACAATCTTCTACAACAGGACAATATTTTGAAGTTTTTTTTCAAATGTTCAAATGCACAGATGCAATTTCCCTTTCCGGTTGTGAAGATCCATTAAAGAAGTCCTCATTCAGCTAGCAGAAGTTTGATTAGGACTCAATTAATTTGTTTTAAAGGTGGTATTTATTGAAACAAATAATACCACCTGCCACCCTTCAGGCAAAACCTCGGGTGATCTCAAGGTAAGAGGTGGGGATGACTCTCAGCTACTACCACACCAGATTTTAGCTTAATGTCTGTAAAACTGACCGAGGTTGTTACTGACTCCAAAGGTTAATCAGCTGTAGGTGTACATCTAATTATTTAATTAGGTTTCATTATAATTTGCCCAGTGGTTCATGATGTGTTTTGCTAACAATCACACACACATATCCTTGTACTTGCATCAAACTGAAGACTTTGTATTGACTTCTACTCATTTTTGTAACTGTATTTATGCCTAACCCAGACATTTTCCCTAAAACTAAGCATTACTGGTCTATTCCTAACCCTAAACTGAAACAAAACTTAACTCACACCATACCTCTAAACCTAACTAGTAAAGCACAGTACAGCTGCAAATAAAGTGAGGACATTGAAGAGGTCCTCACTTTACATCAAAGTCCTCACTCTGTAGTAGAAACAAGCACACACACACACACACACACACACACACACACACACACACAAACACACACACAGGCAACTACTGTTTATTGACATCCGTTTTTCATGGCGGTGGGTGGTGACGATTTCCATACTCACTAATCTACCATCCCGGAGTTCAGACTTCAGCACATTCTCCAGAGGAAAGGCCAAGATGTTGTTGAGGTTTTGCACCTGAAAAAGCCACAAACAAGTAAAGCAACGTCAAACATCCACGAGATTAGCAATCTCAAAAATATGTTAATTAAATTCAGCCCACTCTTATAGTACTGCCCAAAAGACTTGCATTTTTGGGAATGAGAATGACCAAACTCCAAAACATGGTGACGCAGACTTTTTGAACTCGTGAGTCATCAAAAGAAAACATTGGATGCTGAAGCAATACGAGTGTTAGAGCCAAGCAGCTGCATGATGCAATCATTTGTGTTACAGTAAAGATTGAGTTGAAGTTAACTAAAAGGAAATAACATGATGGATCTGGCAAGAATGAATCACAAAACACCAAAAAAGACCTCTACAAGTTGCACTTTCCTGTAAGATATGTTGTTAATTAGCACTAATTCCTGTCCTGCAGATAAATCAAATCATTAGTTTTGGCACGGGTCACTGCAACATCAAATATTCCCTTTTTTCCATGAGTTCCCACTTAACCACATACAGACTTAAAGCCGGTTTGTAAATGGCACTGCAGGTTTTCCAGGGTTTCTGGTGAATTACAGCCAAGCTGCTTTCCACTCTAAAGATAAATAATGTTCAACCATTTCCGGGAGCTGACGGCGGAGCTAACCTTGCGTATGTTGACACAGAGGCCCGGAGACCAATATTGTTTTTGTTGGCATTCAACCTCTGAGACTAGTTGATCATACATGTCATTCTTCCACAGGGAAATACCAGCTCATAGTGTCAACACATGACAGAAAATCAGTGCATGAATGCTTCTAAGCACACTGCAGAGCACAATGCTGATTTTGTTACACAGTTCCTTTAAAAAAAAAGTTGTAGTCTTTTGGGTGCAGTTTTCACATCTGTAAGGTCTATTCTCAGCTCTGAGAGCCTGACTGAAGCATAGCAGGGAGTGTGTGTGACGTATGGTGATTATGTTGTGGGCCGGATCACATGGAGGTCTGGGATGAATTATCATCTCCATAGAAACAATCGGTGGGATGGTTCTGGGCCTCCCGAGTCAGAAGACCTCAATGCATCGTGTTCAAATTACACTGCCTTTTCTAAATTATTTTGTCTTTACTATGAATCACTTATTCTGCACCTTCTACTTTCCATCTGCTCTTTCTTTCCTCACCAGGTTTTTGAAGAGGGACGTGACCTCTCTGGTAAATACAGCCAAGTTGAGGAAGCCTGTGGAGATTTCATTGTTGTCCTGGGTCAGGTGGCTATTCCCCAAGTTCTCCAGCAACTCAGTATAATGCTCCTTGTTTTCCACATGTGCTGTAAAAATCACACAAAAAAAAGGGTGTGGGCATAAGTACAGACAATACAAAAACTCAGACATTTGTTACTAATGCAGAAACCTTGACAAAGGCAGACAGACTTGTCCTGTTGCTTTGGAAATATATCAATGAGACAGACATGTGGGAGAAATTAGATTGGCTTTACACCCCTTACGTTACAGGAGACAGGCAGACACATAGAGATCCATAAATCTCTTGAAATACAGGTCCCTTTATGAAGGGTCAAAACCTTAGTACGTCAGAAGTTTGTGTAATTTATATGAACAATTAAGAATATGAGCAATAATGGAGCAGCTCAAGCAAGGAAAATGGACTTCTTAGTCAAAATATATGCAAAACCGTATGCAGAACTGAGCAAAAGTCTGGAATTATTCCTAATTTCTTAAGCAGTTTGCTTCAAAGTAGCCAGAGTTTCTTGTAATATTTAATCAATACATCTTCAGGTTTTCAAAGGTCAAGCTAAGTTCATTGGACTTTGTCTGCTTCTTCATTAATTTTCAGTCCAGTACCTGACCATTTCAAGAACGATGTTTATTTAAAAAGGGACATATCAAGCAAAACGCACTTCTTTAGCCGTTAAATGCATTTTGTTGTGTACTTGTTGTCTCTAGGAGTGCAGAAAAGTTAAATTTATTTTTCTTGGTGCTGCAAAGATATCTTTATTTCAACCTGAAAAGACTCACACACAGAAATGCGGCAGTTCAACAGTTTTATTGTTTTGAGAAAGTTCTTTGGCGCTCGAGCCCCGGCAGTAGACGTGGGTGCAGCGAACTACTGTGATCAGTTTAGGTTTTAGGAATAACGTCTCCCCCCCGGGGCTCGGACACTGGTGGTGGTGTGGAGGCCAGAGGGAAGGGGTAGCCAGGAAGAGTCTGAGATGAAGGTGGAGACGGGGTGGAGGTGGGTTGAACGAGTCAGGAGAGCAGCCTGATCCTTGGATGCTGGACCTTCAGACCTGGATCCCTGTGAGTTGATTGGTACGGTGAGGCGAGGATCTGACACTGATTGACTGCAGCTGGGAGCGTGACGTGGTGATTGGATGGAGCAGGTGAGGTGGAGAGAGTCTTCCAGTCTGAATTTACGCCTAGGCTTCATATTCTGTTTGTGTTATTTTTCAACCTGTTTATTTTCTGAACTATTGCGTCAAATCTTTTGCAATGGAATTACCAAAGAAGGTCTGGACTTACTAACAATAATTCTGTCATCCTTATTCTCCTCTCAGTCTGGATCAGACTTTGTCACCAACATGCAAGGCTGGATAGACCAGTCTTCCCTTGTTGACATCTTTTAATTAATTTGTAAATAGAATGTTTCTGCGCTGCTATAAATGTTACCCCCTCTATCAAACTGGAATTAACCAGTCTGGAAGATGGAGGGGGGAGGGGCATGAAGTGCCTCATTTGGTTTTAAAGAGACGGCATTAAAACCAGCTGCTTTTTGACACACCTCAGAAAGTGGTGAAATGGGGGCTGGTAAAATTACAATACAGAGGAATTCAGACCAAAGCATTGCAGTTCCACTTTATATTGAACCCAATTGGAT